TGGGGTAAAATTGGGAGTTCATAACCCACTTCAATCTAATGTATGAAATATGATATGTCAAGAGCTTTGTAATGTTGTGAACAACCAATAAAAAATGTTTAAAAAAAGACATCAAAACACAAATTTCAGAAGAAATTATAGAGATCATGGAGTTATAGGGCAACCATCTGTGTCTCCCTTGGAAGATGGATGTGGGTCAAAACTTGGAAGAAACATCAACGCTTTCATCTTACCTTCATTACAGCACCCTAACTATCTGCCGTCATTGACAGGTTGAAGGAATAAATGAAGTGGGCTTTGGTTGGCATGCTATCCAGCTTTCCCTGTGTCCTTCCTCTGTGCCTGGTGCTGCATTGCTATTTACCACACTTCCATATAGCACCCCAACCAGGCGCTGATCTCATGAGGATGGGGTGCTGGGAGGACAGGATCCATACTTGTTCTGGCCTCTTCTTTCACTCTCAAACTTACTTCCCCTTCCACACCTTACCAAGCACAGGGGTGGTGTCTTATTAACTTCCTTCCTTCTAAGCTCAAAGTAACCCATAGGTAGCTTAACACTTACCCAAATGAATATCTTCTTTAAATTTCAGATAGCAAATCTGGGGCAGAAATATCCCAGGAAAAGCCCAAATACCCTGCCATGAATCCAACATAGAAAAATTCTAGGTTTCGTTTCTCGGTTAAGTGAGGAGAGACTCTTCTAGATTTAGGAAATAAGTTTCCAGATAAGAGCATTCAGTGACCACAAACTGATGCAAATGTTAACATCTCTGTGTTTTATAGTAATTGTATGGAACCACTGCTGATGGCTAGGCTACCAGGGTACTCCTGGTGCTGCCTGAGATGTGGAAACATCCAAAGCGTTGTTATCTGAAGTTGCAGAATGACTAATAGTTTGCTTGGAAGAAATTTCTAGAAAGAGAAGTGGAACACTCTTTGAACCCCTCAGAACCAAACAAAAGGGTATGTTCTAGCTCTTCATAATTGTTTAGGCTTCTGCACTTAAACAATTTTTAGTTCTTTTTGTAGATTTTTAAGAAGAATGCCTCAGCAGTACTGTGAACAACGTGGCCATTAATGATTGAGCTCACAAGTAATTACAAGAGTCAGATTCTGAACATGAGATAGCTTTAGGAATGTATGTGAACCATCATATGTTATGCATGTTTTTGTTCAGTTTGCATACAGTAGTAAGAATGATAAAAGTATGTGTTTAAATACATCAGAAGGCTTTTTCAATTTGTGTATAATGAAATTCTAAGTGATAAGAACACATTGTATCATAGTTTAATTGCTGATATTTTTTTCTTTTGATTGGTACATAAAATAATGAGGCCTCTTGAAAGATGCAGTATCAGATTCAAAGACATCTGATCTATTCCTCAGAAACTTCTGTAAGAAATGCTCTTTAGAGTTTACAAATTATCCAAAGTAGAAAAATCAATGACATTGAATGCCCAGACTAAAATCTAATCCACTGGTAAAGAAAAACAAAGTCACATTGAAACTAAGTAGTGCAATATTAGTAGCTATAGAAAGAAGAGTGAACAAGTGTGTTTGTAAATGAATTGTACCCGGATTTTAGTTAACAGGCAATAAATGCAGTCATCCTTCCTGCAGCACACTACATGGGGTGTTACATTTTCCCTGAAACTAATTTGAAATTTCCTTAAGTTGTAATAACCTGATGAGGAAAATAGGCCATTCCTCTGATTGTTTGGTAACCTCATAATCTCTCCTTCTCTCTTTTATTTTATTTTTTTTTAAAGAGGAAGGACACAGTTATTTATAGACCCTATTAATTTAGTTTAAATGATTCTAGCTACTGGCTATGTGTAATCAGCTTTTCCCCTCTTTCTACTTTGAGTTGGCTGGAAATACATTGGATGAAAGATTAGAAAAATGTGTCATTTAAGAGCATCCATTTCTGCCTCTAATGTCATAATACAAGTTTGGTTACCAGACCATAAGAAAAAGCGGCTGAGTCAGTCCTCTGTGGTAGGAGGTCAGATTGATTGCTGGTGCTTACAAAGTGTGGACAGAGAGAAGCTCTTTGCTAAGACGTGTCTCCTAATGTCACATTGAATGGAGTCTGAGTATCCTCTTCCATAATTTCAAGCATATACAGCTAATTCACAGTAGGGAATTAAAAAAAAAAAAGATTTGAGGGAGATTCCTACTAGGAGATTAGGAAAGGGGTCATTTGGTGGGGACCACTGGAGGATTTTGTTTTTCTGTGGGTAATAGCCTTCTGGTTCATGAAGTAGTGTCTCTCTTGAAATTTAATGGCCAGACTATGTTGTTTTGTTACAATAACATGGGAGTCTGTTGCGTGTGTGGTCCTAGGGAGAAGGAGATGGGGGTGGATGGGTGGGGGGATTGGAATCACTGTGATGAATAGTGAAATTTTCTCTCTGATGGTGGGACCAACTCTGGGTTGCCCTGTCGGGGTCATTTCCCTGGGGCAGAATGCCAGGATGTGTTCAGCCTGGTTGGTAACGTACAGAGAACAGCACCTTACCTGTGCACTTAGCAGTTCTCTACGTGTTGGGAAAAGATCAGGGAGGACATTAACTTTTTCTTTTTTTTTTTTTAATTTTAAATTTTGAAAAATGTTGCCCAATGTCAGAATTTTTAAAAATTACATTTGGGGAGATATTACATTTTCCCACATTTAATTATTTTTCCCCTCTCAGGCTCTGTGATTACTATTTTTTCAGTCTATAATATATTTGATGTTTACCTATTTCTTTTCTGAACATTGGAAGACTCTGAGCCCAGCCCTGATCCCATCAGTCCCAGTTCAAAAGCAGCAGTGCCACCAGCCAGGGCCTGGCTCCAGCCTTTACTATCTTTTCTTTCTTGCATAGTGAGGGGCGTGGGGGCTCAATCCCCCTCCCATTTCCCACTGCCTAGCCTCAGCTGAATTCAATTGGTGCCTGCAGCCTGTCCTCTAGTTTAGCAACCTGGCTATTCCTGATTCCCTGCTTGATGTGTCGCTCACAATCGGTATCAGACCTCAGCCCTGCCCATCCCTTCTGTCACCATCTCTTGGCTCACAGGGTGAGGGGGCTTCTGATCAGGAGCATGTCTGGCTGTCTCCTTCTGGGCCTGAGTCGGGCACAGCTTTTCCCAGGCCCTCTCCTATTTCTGAATCACAGTGTGTCATCAACCTTCCCAGCCCTGGGTGATCTATATTAATTTCCCTGCTATCAGATTCTTTTTAAATGGTAGGACATTTGACCACAAGTGAGTGTTTGTCCATCCTTCATTCCATCCACTTTCTAATGACTACCTCATTTTAACTTTTCTATTCTTGTGTGTGTGGGTTTTAGCAAGTGTTTCTGCACTGTTTGGACAATCTGCTCGATTCCTTTCCTTTGGGGGCATCCACTGTCAGCCCCAGCAGGTAGGCCTGTTGCCCTTCTTCCTGTTCATCTTAGTGGGTGGGATCCATATTCAGGCCACAAGCATTTTCACCTCCTCTGTCTCAAAAGGGTACATATGGTTGTTCCTTACCACATACTTCTTCCCTCTGTAATTGGGGGACATTTGTCGAAGCTGATTTGATTGCTTCCTTAGTTCTGAGTTCTGCCCCTTAGTTGCATGAACTTGTATCCATTTCTTAACCCTCTAAACTTCACTTCCATCATTTGTAAAATGGAGATAGCAAAGAGTACCTCATATGTTTTTGTGCATGGTCTAAATGAGATCATACAAATAATCATCTAAATAACTATGATCTACATAATTGAGTAAAATGTCCTACAAATAGTAAATGCTTAATTCATGGTAGCTCTTTTTATGATTTCAATTCAACTGAAATACCTAACTCTGATGACAAATAACAATGATTCGTGACAAATACAATGATAGAAATAGGTGACAGGTGCTTTTGGGATTCAAGTCCCTCGTGAAGAGGCATTTAATTCTCTTCAGAGGTATGCAAGAGGGGTAAGTTCTAGAAAAGAATAACAATTTGAAGGATGCGTAGAAGTTTTCCAGAAAGACAAGGAGGAGGAGAAACCACATGAGCAGAAGGGTACATCCAGTTAGGCTGAGATTCCCAACTCCGGCACTACTGACATTTTGGGTTTGATCGTTCTTTCTTGTGGGGTACTATTCTGTGCACTTTGGAATGTTTGGCAGCATCTCTGGCCTCAACTTGATGCCAGTAGCCCCTCTACCCAGTAGTGACATTGCCAAATGCCCCCTAGACTCTTATCCCTAGCTGAGAATTCTGAGTTGGGCCAATAGAAGATTGAAAAACCCTAGGATCACTCTCAAAAGCTTTCCTATTTTCACTCCTGGTCTTTTTAGCTTCTGCTTTCCAGAAAATGGCATCTCCGTCTGGTCTTTAGGTTCTGGGTGACTGTAATTCTTACCAGTTACCCAAGTGGTTACACACTCATCCTGCATGAGTATATAGTATATATTTCAACTAGTGATTATTAGGCATGGCTCAGAGGCTGTGCTAGGCATGAAAGACACAAAATCCTTCCTCAGTCAGGGTTTATGGTGAAGGCTCAAAGCTTGAAATTTCCTGAGTTTTATTCTTATTTACACCAGTCATTTTTTAAAAAACTTTATTTTAATTTTTGTATAATTTGTCACCATAAATCATTCTTTTTTAATATTTAAATTAAATTTTTAGTAATACATAAAAATATAAAATTGTTTAGATTAATAGAGTACCATGTGATGTTCCAATACATGTATACATGTGTAATGTTTAAAGTAGGTTAAACAATAAATCATTCTTTCACTTGCTACTGCTAATCATTAATACTCATGAAGAGTATAATTGCTAGTCTAATTATTAAATATGAAATATTCATGGCACATACCTCTATGGATTTAATAATTATCATTAACTTTATTCATTCTCCCACTGGCTGCTTCAGGCTCTTCTGAAACCTTCTGGTCTGTGAGACTGGGACACGGTGCATAAACTGTAGTCCCAGGATCCTGATTCAAATCTTGACCAATCAAGATCCTTTCTGATTGCTTTTGCTCAACATTCGTATCGTGATTGCACACTATTGACTGATCTGTTTTCTTTAGTTAATACCTGGCTCTTTATAGAATTAATATTAAATATTCCTCTTTAATAAACATGCATAAATTCATTATTATTTCTAACAACAGCAATCTACAAAGGTGCATACATGCATAGATACTGGGGTGGTGCCTTTCATGACAAGGTACCATCTGAAACGTAGACTCTGCTACAATGTGTACATTCTCATTTAGCATAATTATTGTAAATGGCTCAAGAGCAATTCCATTCTTTAAATAGTGTCAGTTGAGAACTTTCGAATGCCACCCACTCTGAACATTAGGTACATTGTACAAGGGAACACTTAGCCTTCTACAATTGCAAAGTAGAGAGGACTAGACACCAGGGCTTTGTGCAGGGGTACAGGCAAGTGTGCTTAGTTTGGTTGTGCTTTGTCAGATGTGTGTAGTGGAAGGAGAGTGTAAATTTTAAATCAACTCAGTGATGGGACTCAGAGGTATTGGAAATAATGCCATGTGAAAGGATATCTCAGATGGCGTCACTTAGGGGAAACTCTGCTGTCAACTAAGTCATGCTTTCCCATTTGGAAACAAACTAGACCTTGAATGAAACAATAGCTGCTACCTTATTAGCATAAACATTGCTTCCAATTCTTTTCTGTAATTTAGCAATTTGCTGCATATCTAGATGGCAAAATTTAATTTATTTACAAAGGTTCCTTTTACTTTCTCACAGCCAATGTGAGAATGGCAGTCTAGCTTTGCCACTTTTTCATGCTGGAAATTGATATGGAACATAAAAATATTTAGAGTTGTCTGACAACTCCCCAGGAAACTTTTAAAAGCCATTAATTTAGAAACAATTTTGCTTCTATATTTCATTTCTCAATTGGTTGTGATGGAAGTAATTGTCATATCCAAAGGGAGAATCATGACCTCAGGCAATATATAAACATCTAAATTCTTTGGAAAGCATCTTGTTTTTGTGTAGATGCCCTCAGTTATGAAGAAAAATGGAATTAAATCTGAGAAGCATAATACCATGACAGAGATCTTTCTTGCTAACAATCAAAGTTATAAGGCCTCTTTGTCAGACACTTTCATAAGAGAAAAGAACTTATATTATACTTCAAGGTTATATTACCCTAAATGTTTGATTTGGTGAGGTTGAATCTAGATTCATCCACATGTTCATTAAATATGCATTAAAAGCATTCTTGATATTTCCAACACCTGGTATCACTTAATCTCTTTGATTTTATTTATAATTTTAAAAAATAAGGACAGCTTACCCCCTTGTAGTATTATTGAGAGATACAAAAATAACAAACATAAATCAGCTAGAACATGTTTTGCAGAACCTTAATAAATGATATTATTTCTGCCTATTTGTAGTCATTGTGTATATTTGTGCTATAGATCATCAGAAGAAAAATAAATTCTGGCCCTTGTTTCTAAATAGCCTTGAAAGCTATTTAATTACAAAGGGTAGCTTTATAGCTATTGATATTACAACATTGTTTTCTTCATCTTGTAACATATCATCAAAGACTATTCAGAATGATACAAATTTCTGACCATTTTGCATAAATTTAACTAAATCAACAAGTTGTTTTTATCTATGTAAGAAATAATATATCGAAATATTAAATTAATGGGTGAATTATTTTGAAATTGTGAACCTATTTGTCTACACACCTGCTTTTCATTTGTTTCTCTATTTAAAGGATATTCAAGAAACAACCTTCCTCAGTGAACAAGGCAACTTATGAGCTAAAATGATAAATGTCACATATAACTATTAGCATATGTGATGCAGAAATTAATTGTCATTCTGTTTCCAACAGGAAACAGTCTTTACACATTATTGGATAGGAAGAATTTAGTCAAAACCCTGTTGTGTAACTAAGCACATGACTCCCCAAGCTGTTAACTGTATTGGAGGAAAGTGTGACTAAATTTGGGCCAATGGCAAGGGAAAAATGGCATGTGCAACTTTTTATCTATGGATTGCTGTTCCTAAAATTTCTTTTTCATTTTCTGATGCAGAAATCAGAGATTCTGGTCTTTGAGCTGGATGCAGGAACAGGATACATCTAAATAAAGAGTTTAAATTTGGGGAACGAAGGTTGAGACTATTCTTTGTAGGGGGACATATATGGGTTATTAGGTGGCCAACAAGTATCCTCTGTGACAGATACTTCAGTTTATAGAAGTTATCACGATATATATTTTTGGAATTTTAGTTGGACACATGAACAGTCATATGGAGATTACATTTCCCATCTTTCCTTGCAGCTACATGTGGTTATCCATCAACATGTAACCCAATGAATGTGCGAGGTACGTATTTAACTTCTGGGTCACCTTCTTGGTGCTGAATTTACTCCTTCTCTTCTTATGGACCTGGAATATGTTCATGGCCACAAAATATTAGAAACTGTGTCAATGAAGATAACATCAGAGAAGATGATGGAGCAACAAGTTAGAAATCACGTGGATTCTTAAATGACCTTATGAAGCATTGTTCCCTCACTAAGCCTGGATGGCTCACTGTATTATTAGGTATTGTAGCTAAATAACTTAGTCTCTCCTGTGATTAACATTTGTCCCTCATGAATATATAATGTTTTATGGTCTCAAAATGCTCTTCAATAAATTACTCCATTACATTGGTTTTTAACAACTGAGTGCCAACCACAGAAATCACCTTTATCCTACGATCAAGGATATAGTGATAAATCACATATGGATGGAGAGTGTTTTAATCAGCTTTTTCATCACTGTGACTGAAAGACCTGACAGGTACAATTTGGGAAGAGAAAAATTTTATTTGGTACTCACAATTTCAGAGGTATCAGTCCACAAATGGTCAACTCCATTGCTCTGGGCCCAAAGTAAGGCAGAATATCAGGGTAAAAAGGTGTGGAGGAGAAAATCAGCTCAGGACATGGCATCAGGAAGCAGAGAAACAGTTGACCAGGGACAAAATATATACCCCAGTCATACTCACGTGACCTATCTCCTCCAGCCACACTCTACCTGCCTATAGTACCTCCCAGCTAATCCATTCCATTGGATTAATGCACTGATTAGGTTAAGGATCTCATAACCCAATCATTTCACCTCTAAACTTTCTTGTATTGTCTCACACATGAGCTTTGGGGGACAACACATATATAAACCCTAGAAGAGGGTAACTGAGAAGGGGAGAAGGTTATTTTTAGGATGGTAGAAATCTGGGGAGATAGGGCATAGTGGGCCTTGAAGACAGGTCTCTTTTTCTTTAATTCAGTATCTTTCAGCCTGTGATTTCTAGGCCAGTGGCTTCAGCATCATCTGGGAACTTGCTAGATAAGCAAGTTCTCTGCTGTCCCAACCCAGACCTACTAAGTCAGAAACTCTCAGACCCAGCAGGCTGTGTTTGGGCAAGTCTGTCAGGTGACTCTGATGCATGCTTCATGCCAAAGCTTGAGAATTGCTGTTTGAGTCCTCACAGCAGCTCTGGAACCTGGTCAAGGAAGTTCAAATACACACAGCTTACCTCAGAAAGAATTAAAGCTTAGAGGCATTAGGAAATTTGCCTGTTGGAGCAGAGGAGGTCAATGGTAGACTCCAGGTTAGAATCCATGTTCTGATTTAAGTCCCATGTGTGGGATCAGCATCCTTTCCCTGTTATCTTTGGAGAGGAATTGTATTAGTTTCACACATGGTATCTCTACACAATGGCAGCAGAGGAGAAAATTTTATATAAATTTTATAGCTGGAGAATACAATTACTGTTAGATTCTGAATATAGAGAAAATATATTTTCTCTGCAATTATTTTCCCTTGGGAATCCAGTGCTCATTTCTCAGTTGACCTCACACTGGGTAAAAGTGAGCTTGGGGGGTCTTTCTACTGAAATCTATTTTCCAGAAGTAAGACAGTCTTGGCTGTGTAAATGCCCAAGAGGACCTTTCTGTACAGCCTTATTTGGCCACAGTGATTTAGCTATTGCCCTCTGTGTGATCCTAACTGGTAGCTGTCCATGTTGCATCAATTCAGACGCAGACTGGAATGTCACCAGTGCTGCTCAGATGGTGCTGCAAGCCAAGGTTAAAAAAAAATAATTCCTCATTGTCTTCATGCTGAGACAGGTCTGACTGGTAATTCTTACCATATGATCTTTCATCATGGGCAAGTTAACCTGAATAAATAAAAAAAATAAAAAAACAGATAAAGAAAAAATATATTTGGCAAAATTTTTTATATTTCTAAACAAGGTGACAATTTCACCCATTGCAAATGTGCATTGAATTTATAATAAAATTATCATTTTATTTCTAATAGACTATTTTCTTTTTTAAAAAAGAAATAGGATAGGAAGTGTTTGCTTCAGCCCAAATAGTAAATAATATTCTCAAATTGTCATGCTTCCTTCTAACTCTATTTCTATTAGTTTGTGTACATTGAAAATGTGCTGCTAAATTGTCAGGCTATGCTAAGGTGATTGCTGTGGACATAGATTTTTTTCTCTAAAAAGAGGTAGATGGCAGGACCCCAAGGGTGTATACAAACTTCATTATACAGCAGTCAGTGCTCCTAGGGAAAAAATAGGCATGTGAAAGTCCACATCCTGACAAGGAACACCCGGATGTTAGCTGGGATTCTAGGCCCAGAGTGCAATATGAATAGTGATCTGTGCTGAATTACAGAGTGGCTTTGTGAATCCAAGCTAGAGATGGACCTGTGTCCTCACAGAATGTGAGCATTGCCCCCCCACCCTAAGTACATCTGAGAATCTCCTTCCTCCATAGGAGAGCAAGCTAGTCAGAGATGGGTAAGGATGAGAAGCATTGGCCTTAAAATCTAGAGTTCTGGGCTGGGGTCGTGGCTCAATGATAGAGCACTTGCCTAGCAAGTGTGAGGCACTGGGTTAGATTCTCAGCACCACATATAAATAAATGGATAAAATAAAGCTCCATGAACATCAAAAAAATATTTTTTAAAAAATCTAGAGTTCTGCTGATCTGGGCAGGCTGCCTTCCAGAGGGATCATCTACAAAGCTTCAGAGCAAACTTGCCAAGAAGAAAGAGAACATTCAACTAGGTTCATTGCCTAGAGAGGTCTCTACTCAGGCACAGCCAACCTGTGAAATGTTCTTTCCCTTGACACCTTGACTCATCCTTGGTAGAGGACTGAGGATGGACTATGCGTGCCTACTCAATAACAATGAATTGATCTGTACCTAAAACTCAGTGGGAAAGTATCAAGCCAATTACTGGTGTCTTGGAAACAAATAACCTGATAGATGGAATTTTCTACTTTTATACTTGTCTTTGGACCCAGAAAATATCCATTAATTCCTTCAACAAATCTTTGTGCTCATGGTCTCCATCCCAGGATATGATTAGTGGTTGCAGACATCACTAAGAAATAGTATTGACAATGAAAACCACCTTTCTCCTTTGAGATACACAGTATAAGAGGAAGAAATTAAACCAAGTGTCTGTTGATCAAAACAACTGGAGAAAAGAGTTGAAGGCTGGATTTACCTTAGCCACATGATGGGTGATGGGTGTTTTCATTTCCTCAATAAACTAACACTTGAGAGCTTCTGGTTTCATATTCTGAAAGAAGATTCAATAAGTTCCATTGATGCCAGAGTTTCCAAGATGCCCAGTGATTTTTTTTTGTCTTTGTTCTCTGTTTTCCAGAGCTGACCTTTGCTTAATGATATTTTATTGTAGCTCAGGTACATGTTGCATCAAATGGTATGCTTTTTTTTTTTAATCCCACAGGACTTTTCTGGTAATTTTGCAATGGTTTGTTAGAATTTTAAATATTTCAGAAAATGGTCTTTAAAAATGGACTTGAAAGAATTTGAAAGAGAAAAAATATTGACCTTTATAATAAATTGATATGGTTATAAAAATGTACCCTAAAGAACACTGGAAATGGTCCATTTAGACTTGGACACTACAAAAACAAGCTCTTTAATGTATCTCATACATAAATTTCAGATGCCTTTCAAATGGAGAAAGAGTAGGGACATTTTTTCATCCATTATAATTATTTTTGTTTTTATCACAGCTATCTATCCAGTCTAATTTGTATATGACATTTAGCTAGAAATGAGAACATTTCCATTTTTCTGTTTCTGAACACTGGAGCATTAACAGTGTCAACTGGGTACTATTTATTGTAGTAATGTTGATTCTAGTGGTGGATACACACAGATAAGAATTGTATGTTGCTATATCTGAGGTTATATCGCTGGAAAAGAGGTCAAATGTAACTTGGCAAATAGTTGACCATTGTGACAAAAGTTTTAACAGAGAAATGATGTGTTATCTTTGTGAATATACAAAAAGGCCATGGTTTGAGATTACCTGGTTAGGTATGGTCATACTCCCCTGCCTCTGTACCAATGCCTAGGGGAATCTCTCCTGAACATCTCCTCTGTTACCCCTTGAGTTCCTAGGTTTTGGCTTCATGAGTGGGAACTGGCCAAGCAAATCAAGTTTATAGTCTGAGTATAGAGAGCTCAAGAAATAAAGGAAGAGCCAAAGGACGAACTAGAAAGTAGGAATGGGATCTTAAGTAAAGAACAGACAACCAGGAAATAAATGGATTGTTACACAGAGGCTGGCAAGATCTCCTGAGGCTGATCTGAATGTGTTCATCAGGACACAGTGCTATACAAAGTGAATCTCTGAATTGTAATGACTTCCAAAAAAGGCTTATGTTTCACTCACTTTATCGGTAGTAGTTGGTGGGGCCTGGAACCCACACAGTTGCTCTTCTGCTCAGACACAAGACACATAGTTGTTTGGGTACCCGACTGCAATCCTCACAGCAGAAACAAAGCGCTCAGGACGCACTCATGCCTTCTGAAATGCTTTGGCTCGAATGGGACAGAAGTTCTTTCTATCATTGTCCATTGGCCAGAATTAGTTTGATGGCTCCTATTTGCAAGGGCTGGGGAAACGTGCATGGATATTCAGGGAGCAGCAAGTGGTTCTGCCAGTGTGAAGGCCTGGGCTCCACTGTAGGGATTCTGTGGCTGAGCCGACAAGCTCAGGGGATCTGCTTAGGGCTTGAAGCTGGTCATCACACTGGCTGGTGACAAAACTGTAGCTTTGAACTTGGTTAGCCTGTGCTTATAGCTTTGGCATTGTTGCTTTGGGCTGACTGTCTCCTGGGTTCCTTGCTCTGCCCTTGCTCTGCCCTCCGCCTTCCTTTAACTACTGAGGGTTGGATTGGTAAGAAGAGACCACACACCAACATGCTGTACGTTTCTGATTTATTTTGTCAATGACATGGACAGAAGAAGGAATAGAGGCTGGGTGTGACATTTCTTTGTGGTCTCCTATGGGTTATGTCTGCTTATCTCCTATAGGAGATATCTCTACATTGGGCAAGTACAAAAGAATTCAGAAAGGAGAAAAATACTCCCACTCCTGCCCTTTGGTGCTTCCACTCCAAAAAAATTTTTTGTACTAACAATCCGCACTCATCCTTCTGAGGGAGAGTTCACCATAATCTGGCTCCACTGGCTTAGCATTTGTGTGGCCACCTCCTCACTGGGGGGCAGGGAACAGACTCAATGCCAGAGAACCCTGAATGATATCTCAGCCTCCAGCTCTGGCATCCTGCAAAACACAGGCAATTTTCTTTCTTGGGTGGACCAGAGTCTCAG